GTGCGCGCCAAGGGAGATGGTGCGGCACTGCGGTCGGACGTGGCAGGATCCTGCCTCGATGTCCCCATGGGCGCTAGAAAACTAAACCTGTACCAGCTTCACCGAACGGCAGAGGCAGTGCCAGTGCCAGAAACGCCGCTCCTGCCCGACCCTGCCTCCCACGGTCCTGCCTCTGGCCGAGGGAGTGGGACTTGCCGTGTCCGTGGCAGTCCACGATGGCAGAAGAGCTGTGAAGTTGTTGGTAAAGGGTGTGGCTCAAACGAAGTGAAAGAAATGCTCATTTCTCTCCACATTTTTTCTGCTCAGGCCTTATTAGTCCCCGAGCTAGAGTTTCACAAAGGGCACTGTCCATCTGGATATGTCTTAGAGTGCCTGAAACCTTTAAAAACTGGTGTATGTGTGTATGTGAAGGCATATCATCAACATATAATCAGGTTCCTGTCTAGGGAGTAGGTGTATTGACTGGAAGGCAGTATGTAAAGTTAGGACTGAGTCAGATCAAAGAAAAGGAAATTCTTGTCCCAGCGTGACTGGTCTGTGCATGGCAAGCCACCTCCGTATGGCCATGCAGATTCCCCACGTTCCCTGCGAGCCTGGGCCCAGGCTGTTGGCAAGGGGACAGGGCGGTGGGACAGGCAGTGGCAGAGACCCTCCATCCGTTCTGTGGCACTCCCGGCGGCACAGCGCTCTGCACACGTGGAGTTTGTAGGGTCAGTCTTGGCGTTTCCTCTCCCTTACAAGGAGGAGGAAAAGGAAAACTCATGTGGGGGAGGGAGGGAGGGTAGTAAAGTGCAGGGCTATAGTGTTGTTTCTGAAGCTAATTTTAAATCCTGGGTTTTTTACTCAGTGATGGCTGGGCTGTGATTTGATCTAGCAAGGTTGTTTTTTCCTAGTTTTTAAGGCATTTTAACGACTCTTTGTATGAAGGAAAACATTGCAATGGCAGGACATACAGGACATAAGATTATAATACGTGGGTATAGAATCTAGATGTATGTGCAGTACATAAGCCCTTCCAAGCACAGGAATGGGTACAATTTGCTGCCTCCATCTCCATGTTGTTGCAGAAAATCGTAGGTGTGTGTTACATATTCTAGGAGAGAGGTATATAACAGAAGTTTATAAATGTTTGTTTCAAAGAGAACTGAAACTATTTGCCTGAGTGTACCAGATGGCTGATGTTAGACATATATACAGTAATGCAAGAATAAAAGTTGGGGGAAGAGATCCTGCAGAATTTTGATGTAACCCTTGAAAGCTTTGCTTGCCGTGATTTGGAGGTGGTATCTTTACACTTGAGGGCGAATGCACTTGAGGGAGAGGAGACTAGGCTGTATTTAATTGCTTTTCAGAAATGTAGGTTCCTGCATTGTACTTTCTGAGTGATGTGAGCGCAGGCTGCTGTGTGGAACTGGCTTTCCCCTTCGGTCTTTTACTGCAGAGAGCTCCCGTCAGGAGTAAGCGTTATGTAAACTCATCTGCTTTACACATCAGCAGTAGGAGGAGAGAGGAAATGATGTGGAAGTTTAGTTTTAATATAGCACAATTCTCAGAGAGGCCTAGGTCGTTTGGTGTTTGAACACAAGATAGTATGACTGGTTAAAGAAGACATAACTGTTAGTTATAAATGTATTTTTATGTGCTATTTATGATATTAAAGCTTTCAAGGGCTATGGTTTCAAACCTTACCAGCCATGAACACAAAAACAGGCAAACTCACACGTAGGTGCACACACAAACCATCTGTGTAGTGAATATAACCTATTTGAAGTTGTGAGTTTTACCCTTCTCGTGCAAAGGGTTTGCTTTGGGCGCTGGTGGCTCTTGGTTAGGACAGTTCAGATTAGAAGCTGGTCTGATGTGAAGACCCTGGTCCATTTTGTTATGTCAGAGTTCTCTGATAGTGCAAGTGGCTGGCCCAGCTGGAAGTATAGGAGAGTAGCTTCAAGTTACACCATGAGCATTGCCCAAATGCAGTGGAGGAGCAGGTATAAAGTACTTCCACTGAGGAGGGGTGGGATCTACCTCTGTCAAACCTGTAGCAGCAGAGACCTCCTGGCCCTCTGGAGAGTTCCCCTGGCCATTTCTGGTGGCTTTTCTAAGACTGACATTTGAAGGTGGTTAATTACAACTATGAATATGGTAATTTGGTTGAAATGTAATAAAAAAAAAAAATCTGTCATAAGAGAGGGAGGAGAACTTTCCTGTGCCCTCCTCCTAGATTTCTGAAGTCCATTTATTTTGATACAGAAAAAGTTCTCTGTGTGCAAAAATGCAGAATGGATGACAGCTAAGACGTAATGAAAGTGAGGATGGTAAGTCAGTGTAATGGCTGGTGACCTGCTGCAGTCTGTATGGCAGTATTACCTGCTCGCCCCCAGCCTCCAGCTCATTTCTAGTTTTGTATGTGAGCACTGAGAATACAGGTATAGGGAATGTAATATCAGAAACCTTTTTACAGAAGAGGGGGAGAAAGGAAGTAATCTTCGTGAGTATTCTTCGAACTGCAGGGATGTATAGGAGCCAGGGCAAGTCTTATGGCCGAACCCTACAATCCTTACACAGTGTAGACTTCCCTGAAAACCAAGGAGGATTTGGCCAGGGATTTAGTCTTGTGAAAATACATGTGAGTAACTTAAATTTCTAAGAAGTAAGTCTGTTAGGTTTTTTGAGATTAATTTCTAGGTTCAGAGGCTGAATGGGAACTGCTGGAGCCTCCTTCAGTGAAAAGAGAAAAAAAAGAAGCTCTGTATATTTCTTTCTAAGAACATATAAAATATACCTCCTTCTATTTATAAAATAAAACCACCCTTCCAGCTGTGTATCTAATCAGTAAACATGGCAGCCCATGTGGCACGACTGATTAATATACCCCTCAGACATAGGGAGTAGCATGAGGCAAGGCAACGTGCATTACTCAGCACTTGCCATCCTGCCAAAGCCTTGAGGTATTTTCTACGTGATGGATTCCTGTTGCAGCCAGTGGGAGTTCTTACACTGCTTTACAAAGTTTAAAAAAATACAACCCACGCATGCACAAAAAGATTTCTCCATAGTCTTGAGAGTGATACTTTCCTTGGCCCCAAAATGAAGTAACGCCTGCTTCCCCTTTGGTGTGCCTGGATCTTACCTTTCAATGTGAGAGTAAATTAATGGGACAGCCACTCACTCCTTGACCTTTTCCTGCTTGTTGATACTAAAACCAGCTGTAAAGATAGTTTTTGTAATTGGGAAGCTTAATAGCATACCTGATCCAGTGGTAACAAATTTCTGTGACTGTTAATCTGAGATAGATGCAAGTCAGTCCCCCTTGGCAGCTGCTGTGGCTTTGTTCTCTGCCTGTGTACATACATGTGCCCTTGTTCACTAAGAGCATGTGGGTGTATGCATGTCTTCAAATAATGAGGTACTAAGCATTTAGAACATTAAAGCCTTTCTATGTTTTTATCTTAAAAATAGTTAACAAGAAAAATCTGTGTCTCCACTGATGTCTAGAAGCAGCAAAATGTCATGATTACTACTGCCATTCCCCAGCCACTCCTAGCTCCCTGTTCCCCCTAATTTTTACTGTTACTCTTTCTTGTCTCTTTTGAAACTTCTTTCATGTTCAGGAACTGGCCTAGGGTCTGATTGCCCACTAAAGTCTAATCCCAGCTTTTCTGTGTTCAGAAGCTGGTGCAAGATGTTCTTTTGGGTTTTTTACTCCCTCCCTTTCCTCTCTTACCAACCTGTGGCCTGTAGAACCAGGAATCATACAAGGGAGGGATGGCTGAGAGGTGCAGATGCAAACTCTGGAGACTTGAGGTTTGATTTTCACTGCCATGGATTTCCTGGATCATCTATGGCAGGTCAGTGAGGCCAAGGATCCACAGCAGATGTCGTATGTATCTGTACAGCTGTAAGGCTCTAGATGCTGGGCTTTTTGTGCCTACCACTTCTGTATGCCATAGGGTCACCCGAGATAGAGAGCACGAAGGATTGCAAGGTGATCATTTAATATGGCCACAAGGGCCATAAGTATCTTAGACACCAAGGGTAAGGATATAGGTAAGGATGAAACTGTAAGTATTAACCATGTGGATTTCTGTTTTAGGTGCGTTCCCTTCAAGCCACATTTGGAGAATTTGAATCCATGATGAAAATTGCTCAGCAGAAGCAGGAGGTTACCGAGAAGGCTGTTAAACAAGGGGAGAGTGAAATAAACCGAATCAGTGAAGTGCTTCAGAAGCTGCAAAATGAAATTTTGAAAGACTTGTCTGATGGCATCCACATGGTGAAGGATGCAAGGGAGCGAGACTTCACATCTCTGGAAAACACAGTGGAAGAGAGACTAACAGAGCTAACCAAATCTATAAATGATAACATTGCTGTATTCACTGAAGTCCAGCAGAGGAGCCAAGATGAAATCAACAATATGAAAGCAAAGGTTGATTCACTAGAAGAAGCAGATGCATATAAACATGAAATTAAGGTGCTAAAAGATGCTTTTGATGAGATGCAGGCGTCCATGAAAGCCAAAGAAAAGGCCATAGAGACCTTGAAGAGTACGATAGACTCCATGGAGTCTGATGTGTATACTGAAGTGAAAGAGCTGGTCAACCTCAAACAAGAACATGAGAAATTCAAAGAGGCTGCAGACACTGAACATCTTTCACTAAAAGCTTTACAAGAGAAAGTTCTGAGAGCTGAGGATTCTATTATGCAGCTCCCTGGTGACATTAAAAGACTTGATGAAGATTTACGGCAAGTTAAAGCCGACTTCAACAAATGGGAAGAAAATGAACTCTTCAGAAAAGCATTAGAAACTTTTGGGAAGAACAGTGAAGGCCTGGAGTCTCGATTGAGGCACATAGAAGAAAGCCTGGAGTCTCTGACTTCTGTTGCTGCTCAAAACAGTGAAAAGTTGCAGTCTTTCCTTTCTAAGGAGGCGGAGTACGAGAACAAGCTCAGTGCCCTAGAGCAAAGCATTACAGGACTTCAGGGAATCTCAGATATGGACATAACGTCAGTCACAGACACTCTGAAAAGTCTTGGTGAATCACAGACCTCACTGTACAATGACGTGGAGAACTTGAGAAGAAGCATCAGCGACCTGCCATCCTCTGGTGCTCTTGAGGATGTCCAGAAGCAAATTAGTACTTTGGTGGATCAAGGAAATCTTCAGACGGGTCAAGCACATTCTCAAGGCTATCTTGAAAAGTTTTCTTCTGTGGAAGGCTCTGTAGATGAACTGAGATCTTCTGTCAGCCAGGTTGATTCTGATTTGAAAATGATAAGAACTGCAGTGGATAGTTTAGTCTCCTACTCAGTCAAAATTGAAAATAATGAGAACAGCTTGGAGTCTGTAAAGAGCTCAATAGATGACCTGAGGAATGATCTGGAAAGGTTGTTTGTGAAAGTAGAAAAGATACATGAAAAAGTTTAGGCAGCAGTCCTCCTTGTGCAGATAATGGATTAAGAAGAATAGCTTTTGTATGCCCAGTTTTTTACTCTTTTTAAAAGCAATTTGATACCTCCAAAGAGAATAAGAATACTTTAACAATAGAGACAGTTCTGCTTATTTCTTTTATTTCTCTTTTGTGTAGGTTTTTTTTAAATTTTGTTTTAAGAAAACCATGCGTTTAGTTGGGGGTTGAGTTTCTAAGGACTCATCTTCTCTACAAAGTTGTACTGTTGGAACTGTACTGGTGTAACTAAGGCACTACAGCCTTGTTAGCATGGGCACATATTTAATGGCACGAAGGTGTTCCATTCACACTATGACACTCGGTATCCCACACGGAAGGGCTACAGCTGCTCTGGTACACAAACCATATTGCTGTACACACTGAGAATGTTACTGATATGTTTTAGTTTAAGAATCAAATGAACAAAACTACACCCCTATCTTAAACTGTTTAGACCAGTAGACTTAAGTGTGGACCAGGTTTGAAGCAACTCACCTGTTTGTGCAGTTTGGGACTCAGCCCTGTGGTCAGTTTACCAGATGTTAGCTGAGCTGTTGTGTATTTCATTTTGGTGAGTCCTTAATCTGTACCAAGGAGCTAAGAAGGGGTTAGCTGAACCACCTGAAGGGAAGGTGTGAGGTAAGTGGCATTGCTTGGGGCTAAGACCTAAGAGGGGTGTGCTACCACATGGCTGGAGAGATTAATTCTTTGTGATCGCAGGCATCTTTTTCAGCATCCTCAGCTGCTAGTGTAGCAGACCAGTGCTTTGAAAGGACATCTGAAGATGGGATTAGCTTCAAGAGGGTACAGTAATATTCTTGTTGTATTTTGGGGCTGTTTACACGATGAGGCGTGTCATTCCTGGAAAGGTCTAATTTGCCTGTGATACAGGATTTTCTGTAAAAATTACCATGAATTTGAATGAGGAAAGAGAAAGACTAAAATGGCACCACTCGTGCTCCATGTATAGCAGGCATGCTAACAATAATAGTGCACTCCAAAACACACAAGGGGGAAAATCACCATGAAATCAGCAGAATTGCTTCTAAGTTGTATACATTTCCAAATTTTCACACAGCTGACAGTGACCTGAACTGTTGTTACATATTCAGGACTTGGTGCCTGATTCTTGTCACCATTGTTGTCACTGGGTGTCTGCCTGGGGCATTGGGAGCAAAGGATCCTTCTAGGAACTGGCTGAGAGTGAGGAAAACGTGTCATAATTCTCTAGATGTTAATTTAAAAACCACTTCCTCATGGAGTTTTCTTGGGTTTTTTGTCTTTCTGGAAAGGATTTCTAATATCCCTTCCTTTTTAAGTTTACTCTTGAACTTTATCCAAAGATCTGGTAAAGGAGTCTGCACATGGATACCTTGGAAATAGGTTGTGTGCATCATGCCCACCTCAGCCTGCACTAGCTAGATCCAGGGCTACATTAGAAGAAGAATTCCTAGAAGCAGCACCTCACAGAAGTGGTGTGCTTGTGGGAACAGCGTAGGTGAAGAGGAGTTCTCCTAGGTAAATAAGATACTGAACCATATCTAGTGTTGTCCCCAATGTAAACAGGATCCTGATAGCAAAGAAAGATGGACCGACGGCATTAAGGTAACTGTTGTCACTGTTGGAACTGCACTGTTCTTTGTTGACTTCTCAAGTTCTTGAACAATGTTGTTTAGGTTACTGTGAAATGAACTGTAAGGCTTGTTTGCGGTATTTTTAATACATAATAAACATTTGGAATATTCTTTGCACCCTTTTTTGATTGCTGGTTACTTAACGCTGTGTGTCCCAGGATGCTTCTGGTGGGTTACAGGGAAGGGCTTGGGGGAAGCACCAGAGCTTTACACTGAGATATGATGCAGCCCTGTACTTGTTCTCAGCTTTCCTAGAGCAACCTGGAAGTACTCTGACCTGTTGTAGTTACAGAGGAACTCTTGAAAACAGGATTTGAGTCAGATCAATGCAGCAGTGTTGACCGCTGAGCTCAGAAGCCCAAGATGATAGTTGTGAGGTATGAAATACACAATTTATGCAATGAATGCTATGTCAGACACCACTAGTGATGCCTCGGTAAGACTCTCACAATGCCCAAAGCATGTAGAACAGAAATAATGTATAGAAAGGACCTATATAATATTTCCAAACATTTGCTGCTCCTCTTGCATAGCCTTGGATACTGGATTGCAAGGTCCATTAAGTGATAACATCTTGATGATGGATGCCTGGCTTTCAAAAGTTTGGGAAAGGCTGATTTCAGGAGTATGGGCATCATGTCCTGGCAATTCCTGAGGCCAAATTCATAGAAGTAGGCAATCCTTGTTACTAGACTACCTATGTTCAACAAAACAGGTAAGCACACAAGCTCTTCCATCTAAAAGGGATTTGATATGGCAAGCTGGCCATGAGCACGCAGTGTCTTTAAAGGGTAGTAGCCGCATGGTGAGGGAATTTAAAGAGCTGTAAAGCCAGCAGTGCAGCTGGGCCAAAGATCTCAAAGATTAAATGAAGAATTACTAGTTACACTTTTAGTAACTTAATTTTTATGGCAGACTATTGAAATTATTTATTTCACTAAATAAGAATAATAATTCTCCATAAATAATAACGTGGTTGGAGGCAGGCACAGCAGCAAGGATCCCTCAGCAGCCTAGAGGCTGAGCTTTTATATTTGGCTGGACAGTTTCATCAAACACAAACACTTCCTAATTCCCTCAGAAATGCTCCCAGAGCACATCCCATCCCTGTGCTGCTCTTTACTGTTCTTGGACTGCACAATAAAACAGCGGAGAATGTCTTGAGCAAGACACATCGTATGTTGCCAGTGTTATTTTACATTATTAGTAGTTCATCACTAACGTGCTGTTACAGTAACCAAGTTGAACTGAAACTATCCACCTGATTGATGAGGTATTGATTGGGACAGTTCATTAACATTTGTCTCCATTTTCAGCTCTCTTACCTTACAAATGGAGAAGCGACTACACTGAGACACTGTGGACCTGACCACACTTGAAAGGGCTTGTCCAAATGGCTATGCTGGCGAACCTGATGGAGATAAATCCGGTGCTGCTGCAGGAGCTTCTCTGGTCACTGCTGCAAGGGAAATAACCTCTAACAGCAAACAGAGTCACTGGTGGCCTAAATGTGTGTATTTGGGGTTTCATTAGAGCATGGGTCAGTGATTTAGTCTTTTTACCATCTTGACATAACTCAGCTGGTCAGTGTACATAAAGCTGCAGAGCAGTTAAATGACTGCAGGAGAAAAGGCTTTACCGAGATCTACAAACGCCAGAATAGCCTAAAACCGCCAGAATAGCCTAAAAACACCCAGCGTGGGCCCCCCATTCTGCTCAGCGCCGTCAGGGACAGGCCCTGCAGTTTGGGGCACTCCAAGAAAGGTGTGGCTGAGCTGGGGGGACTCTGGACGAGGAACATGATGACGAACAGAGGTAAAATGTTTTAGGAGAAAGACGTTGAACGATTGAGCCTGTTTAGACTTGAAAACGGTGGAGGGAGGATTGACGGGGAAGGCGGAAGCGCCGGAGGTGAACGGCAGGGATGGGTGGCGTGGCGGCAGGGGGCAGGCCGAGCAGGTAG